AGGAAGGACGCTTCAAGAAACTCCTGGGTCCCGGTTAAAGGCGAAATACAAGCAGAAGTGGCATAAATCGAAGCATAAATAACACTTTCTTACAACCATTGACGGGTATGATAAATATTGGTGGCTGCTGTATAAAGTGATACGGCTACACGTCTTGGATGCGGATTCCATTTTGCGGTTTTCAGATGATAAGCCAGACAAGACTTCTAAAACCTTATCGACCGTAATGTCAAACAGTTCGTGTCCTCGTGCACACATACTGCGCCAACTTAGGGGACGTTGAAGCTTAAAGCATTAAATAGGACTCTGCGGAGTACAGAAGACCCCGTTATCTGAATAGCCACATGTGTCATTACTCAATAAAACAAAGCTGCATCGGAAGAAGCGAGTTAGAATAAATTATCCGGTTAGTGGCCGGTGCACGCACTTACGTCTGTGGAGGCCCCAAGACACATCGACTGCCGTGCCGAATCGTATTTTTCAGTCCGACTATCTGCAGGAGGTGCCGCTGCTTTGCAATATAGAAAGGAACCTGTGATCACTCTAACTCCAATTCAGCACTTAAACTACTCAGTAAAAACAGGCATGTAATCATTTGAACTACGACGACACCCGCTCATAGTTGTGACGCAATAAGTCGAAATTTCCCTGGAACAAGAGTCAAGCCGAAATCTCCTCTACCTACTGTAGATTCTATTGCACTCACTCAGGCGAAATTCATGACCCTCATTCTTTCAAATCAGGCTCATTTTAAGCATAGACCAGCACGTCTGTGGCACAGGAAACTGGCTGGTTTGACTTTGTCAGTCACGACACTCTTAGTCATCTCTATCCGTCAACTTTTTGTATTATTAAATTACGGTCATCATAAGATGAAATATATTTACATATATATGTTAAACAGCTGATGTGGTGTGCATTCTGAGATGATATAATAAAGAAGGGAGAGGGCTCTTCGGAAAATAGAGTTCTATACAGAAGATGAAGATGCGATCACTGGGACAAGAAGTTTATTTGCCTGACGTTTCGGATTCTCACTCGAATCCATCATCAGAGACATTCGCAGATAGAGGTGAAGGTGGCACCAGGAGTGCAGTATTTATAGCACGTGGCTGCCGTGGGACCGTATGCGCACTGCAATTAACAGTTCTCACAATCGCCGATGGGGTCGTAATTGATGCGGCGGTGGCTTGGCGGTCCGAGTCCGAGTCGTTAATGGCCGCGAGTCGCTGGAGTCGCTGGTTTTCCGACACCACAGACCGAAATTCTGGGCTCGGTATGTGGATGACACCTTCGTAGTCATCGAACGGGATCAGGTGCTGACTTTCAAAGAACAACTCAACGCCGTCTTCCCGGACATTCAATTTACGATGGAGGAGGAGGAAAACAATCAGCTGGCCTTCCTGGATGTCCTCGTCTGCCGCAAAGATTGTGGTGGCCTAAAAACCAAAGTGTTCCGGAAAGCGACAAATACGACGCAAATACTGAACTTCAATAGCAACCACCCGATCAGTCACAAACGCAGTTGCGTAAGGGCGCTATACCGGCGTGTTGAGACGCACTGCAGTGAAATGGAAGATAAGGTTGCTGAATTACAATATCTTCGACGGGTAATGAGAGCCAATGGCTACCCGCGCAACTGTGTCAACCAGTGCATACGAAAAGGACACCAGAGACCAAATCCAACTAGCCCCAAATTTTGGCGGGCTCTTCCGTACGTAAAGAACGTCTCGGAAGCCGTCAGTCGTCTTCTCACTCCACTTGGAGTTGGGGTTGCACACAGGCCGGAAGCAACCATTAGACGCCAAGTAATGAGGCCAAAAAACCCGCTGCCACGGCAGGAAACGTCTGGAGTCGTTTACCGGATCTGGTGTAGTTGCGGACAAAGCAATTATGTCGGAGAAACTGGGAGATTACTCCGTACGTGACTTGCCGAGCACGCAGCAGCAGTGAGGCGGGGAGACGCTAACTCTCAGGTGGCGTCACACTCGACGGGACCCGGCCATATTTTCAACTTTCAAGAGGCCGAAATCCTCGCAAAGGGTGACAACCGCGTGAGTCGTGAGCTGCTCGAGTCATGGTTCTCAGGCCCGCAATCCATCAACAAACACAATGACCTCCCGGTACCCTATTCCATATTGCGATTTTCCCTGGGCAGGAGAATCAGTCACGTGGGGAGGGCGCGGGTGAGCAATTATCACGGTGACAGTGAGCCAGTTTGCCGAACAATCGTCACACCAGCATCGAGCACGGATGACGAAATCGCGGCCATTAACGACTCGGACTCGGACCGCCAAGCCACCGCCGCATCAATTACGACCCCATCGGCGATTGTGAGAACTGTTAATTGCAGTGCGCATACGGTCCCACGGCAGCCACGTGCTATAAATACTGCACTCCTGGTGCCACCTTCACCTCTATCTGCGAATGTCTCTGATGATGGATTCGAGTGAGAATCCGAAACGTCAGGCAAATAAACTTCTTGTCCCAGTGATCGCATCTTCGTCTTCTGATCTGCTACCTGGGACTCGCCTGTTCGCTTCTATCAGAGTTATATACGTAAATTTTCACGTTAGCGACATCACTCCGTCGTTAGACGGATTGAGCGACAGTTGATGTCATCAACTTGAAAATTCACGGGTACAACTCGATTTTCCTATGAGCTCTTTTCTTTTTTTCTTACATATATATATATATCGACAAAACCCGTGTCTGGGCTTTTAGTCAGTGCCTTTGTCGGGATTACGGTATAATATGTTCGATGTATGCATTTGATACTATTCATAGTACTACTTGTTAGTAGAATGGGCATTACGTGGTTATTCCGAAATCAACGCCAACCAAAATGTGGTACACAACTTATCGTCGAAGCAGTTAAGCGAACAGAACTCAGAGTGTTGAGCCACGTATCCAATTTTAACACTGCTGATGCCAGCCCAGCAGACTTCATCGCCACACTTGAGGCCATGTTAGTATGAACTTACGCTTCCGATGAATTTAAACAAACGGTGCGACAAATGTTACGTCTCTCCTGATGTCGAATCTGCACTCTAGCAATATGTCACCTGCAGAAATAGAAGCAATGAAGAGATTAAAAATGGACAAAGATATTATAGTGCTACCGGCCGACAAACGATGAGCAACCGTTGTGATGAACCGCGTTGATTACAACGAGAAGGCACAAGCTCTCCTGGACGACCAACAGCCCTACAAGTCCGCACCTGCCTCTCAGGCCAAATCGATGATTGGCCAGCTGACTGGACTCTTAAGCCGACTCCGGCGCAACAATGTAAACTCGTCTAACGAATAGCGCAAGACAAAACCAACCGACATGGCGTTGGCCAGGTTCTATGGACTACCAAAAATCCACAAACTCAGCGTTCATCTGCGGCCAATCGTGGCCCTGAAAGGCAGTCCCACCTACAATTTAGCCAAATGGATGTCCCGAAAACTAAATTTTCCCCGAGAGGGCTCAGTGACGTCAGTCAATTCGGCCTCCCAATTCCTTGCCGACATTCGGGGAAAAACAATCCTACCCGACCAAATCACGTTATTCTTTAAAGTTGTCTCACTTTTCACGTCCATCCTACCAGAATTGGCGCGCGAAGTGCAACGCAAACGCCTCGAAGAAAAGTACGGCGAAACGACAGGGCCGCAAAGATCCAGAAAATAATGCAGCTCTTTGCATTCTGCCAAAGATATTTTTTATTTTCGATGGCTGAACATACGAACAAATCAAAGGAAAACCCACGGCGCCGATACGTGGACGATATACCCGTCATATATGTAGGACAACAAGCCAGCGAAAACCCGTTCGTCGGCTGATTGGAACACAGCATTAGAATTGATGAATTTGGTATGGCTAGTGAAAGTTTGTACTAGGACCAATTTTGTCACTTGCGATGAAAAAGCTGCCAATTAACGGACCAGTGACGGCTATCAACTCTCACGTTCAGAGGCGTAAGAACACTATGCTGGGTCATGCTGTTTGACTTCAAACTGAATATATATTAGCAGTTCGACCGTCACTAGAGGCGAGTTTCACCGCTGCTTCACTAGGCGTCCTAGTAACAGCAACTCGCACACGGATTCGTTTATCTTGGAGCGGACTTGCACTGCATTCACCGCACAATCTTCTCTAACTGACCTCGTTCCAGTTAAAGACGAAGTCAAAGTAATAGGAAGCGGACGGTGGCGCTGTGGCCGACAAAACTACTCAGCCAGCCTATGCGTGCCACACACGATCTGCCTCCACCCCATATTTACTAAGTTACGGTTAACGGGAGCTCACGGAGCTCATATATGCGAGGATACCGTAAAGGTCCACATTTAGAATGGTCCGCTGCAGCCCGATACTCTGTCCTGAGCACAAACTCATCACAATGTTAGTTTGCAACCTTCAACCTCACCACTCAGCCCGTTGTGGGAAATCCGAATACATCGGATTTACGAATGGAAGAGAATATGTGCATCTCAGGTTCTTGTTTAAAATAAGACAAACGAATGACCACTGGAACAGTAAATTTTTTGCTCCTAGCTTCCGAACTCGTACAGGAGTTCATCATCAGAGACTGTAAGAGGGCAACAACGGGTGAACATTTATGCCGTTGTGCCGCGATAGGGGGAGTTACGTACATGGCTAGGTCTGTTCGTGCTGCCTGGCCCATAATGGTCTCTCGGCGTGGTTATAGCGTTAGTCGTTCGCGGCGATGTGAGCTGCGCCACGTGCCAGCGTGGAACATGGATTCCCCAATGTACAGTCTGGTTGCGGAATTGGTCCTACAACGGCTGGAAAAGGTTGCTTTCAGCCACTAGAAACCCGCGTTTTGGCACCGATACGCGGACGATACACCCGCCATCATTGAGAAGGACAGGCTGTCGGGTTTTCATGACCTGTTTAACAGCATCTTTCCCACTTTCAATTTACAAGCGAAGACAAGGAGACCGAGAAATTGCCCCCCCCCCTTGACGTGCTCGTCATGGGCACATCTGATGGTAAACTCAAAACTACAGCGTACAGAAAGACGACTGACACAACCCAGGTCCTCAGCTATCATGGCAACCACCCGCTGGTGCACCAACGGGACTGTGCGGGCGCTTTTCAACCGGGTTAGAACACATAGTAGCGAGCCCGAAGGAGGGATGCAAGTACCACGGCATCTCAGGGACCAGTTGGCAAGGAACGGCTATCCAACCGGTTCCATCAACCGCTAAATACGTACACACCCACGACGGACAAACGACAGAGAGACACCAACAATTTGGCACTTCCTACCTTATGTAAAATATGTATCCGAGGCCACAGAACGCATTGCGACAGAGTAAGGCGTGGGCATCGCCCATCATCCGGTGGTCAAAATGCGTAGCAGAATCATGAAGATGAAGGATCGGCTGCATGCAACTGAACAATCGGGCGTAGTCTATCAAATCCCATGTTATGACTGTCCTTGCCACTACACAGGCCAGACAGGACGACGTCTCAGCTCACGAATACTTGAGCACAAACTGGCTGTTCGGAGAGCCGACCCACTATCTCAAGTCGCCACTCACACTCTGGAGGAAGGCTATGAGTTCGACTTTGCCAACACGCGGATATTGGCGCGAGCCGGCAACAAGTCGGGGCGAGAACTGTCGGAGGAGTGGGTGTCGGACACCATCTCTGTCAATAGACACATCGATTTGCCTGCGTGTTATCACGCCCTCCGCCCATGCAGCCGGGTGGTGCAGCTCACACCGTCGCGAAGTACAAACGGCGTCACCACGCCAGGGGACCATCGTGGAACAGGCGGCACGAACCAGACCTAGCCACGGACGTAGCCCCGCCCCCTCACGGTACAAAGGTTTAAATGTTCACACGTTTTTGCACCCTAACGGACCCTGGTAATGTACTCCTGTTCGAGTTCAACAGCTAGGACCAATAAAACTATCGTTCCAGACATGAGATTCACTACAGTAAGAAATGCATTTATTCGCTCTGTGGTTTAGTTCCCCAATGTTGGCCTCGTTCGTCCTTCCCTTCTCCACGCATCAATTGTTTGGGTGAGTTGGACTGACCGGGAATGAGGTTGAGTTCATTGACTGACAATGCCAAACAGCTTGTTCCCGCGTACCGGAGACGGCCAGATTCGCATCTCATGTATCGGGCTACCCCAAAATACATGCCCCATTTAAATGGAAAACGCATTTTCTTACATGTGACGCTTTACCTTCCGTACCGGCGATGGCAAATCGGATAGCATGTATGTCACAATGATGATGTGTGGTG